AGACACCTCTCCGGTTAATAACCAATAGCAGAACCTGGATGCCCATATTGGTTCCTACATATTCTACGAAGATCTTTATCGGTCGAACCTTATGACAACATACGTAATTCCCTTTGTCTGTTGATATGTTACTTGCCCAAGATTCGATCGTCGGTATCTTCATACCTAGTTCAATTTTTTTACCGGCAAGTCTCTTTACTCGTTCTGTAATACATCATCTCGTAACTAACTCCTTAGTCATTTGCTTGCAAGGCTTCTTATGATGTGTAGTACCGAGAGGGCCCAGAGATACCTACTCGGAGTGACAAACCCTAATCTCGATCTATGCCAACTCAACAAACACCTTTGGAGATACCTGTAGACCATCTTTATGATCACCCAGTTATGCTGTGACGTTTGATAGAACACAAGGTATTCCTCCGGTATCTGAGAGTTGCATAATCTCATCGTCGAAGGAATATGTATTTGACATGAAGAAAGCAATAGCAATAAACTGAACGATCATTATGCTAGCTAACGGATGGGTCTTGTCCATCACATCATTCTCCTAATGATGTGACCCCGTTATCAAATGACAACACATGTCTATGGTTAGGAAACCTTAACCATCTTTCATCAATGAGCTAGTCTAGTAGATGCTTACTAGGGACATGGTATTTATTTATGTATTCACACATTTATTTAAGTTTCCGATCAATACAATTCTAGCATGAATAATAAACCTTCATCATGAATAAGGAAATATAAAATAACAACTTTATTATTGCCTCTAGGGCATATTTCCTTCATGTTTCTCTTGTTGTGTTTTGACCTTCCTAATGGTAATTGGCGGTAGTACCGCTGGCTACCATAGTAGTATCGCTTGTGCGGTACTTTCATTGGTGTGTCGCGGTTACTATCGGGAGGGTCTCTGTTACCCTTCAGGAATCCACGATAGTACCGCTTGCTCCTAGAGGTAGTACCTCTTGTGCGGTACTTCCCCTGGAGTACCGTACGCACTATCGTTGAGGTCTCTGTAACCCACCGGCTAATTCATGGTAGTACCGCTTATCTAAGGCGGTAGTACCGCTCTGGCGGTACTGTCGTGCCAGTTTCGCGCCCTCAGTGGGTCTTGGTGACTAACCTATACTTAGCGATAGTATCGCTCCCCCGAGCGGTAGTACCGCTTAAGGCAGTTCCAGAACATAACGATTGGATTTCTCTTCCCACTATATAAGGGGTCTTCTTCCCCATTGCCTCGAACGACTTTAAGCAAGCTTTCTCCTCCATTGTTACATCCAAAAGCTTTGCTTTCTCTCTATTCCTCCAATGATTATTGCATCTTTTTGAGGAAAAAGAGAGAAGAGATCTAGATCTACATTCTCCACCAATCCATCCATCCTCTTAGTGAGGGGAACCTTGTGGATCTAGATCTTGGAGTTCTTTTTTGTTCTCCTTGATCTTCCTCTCATATTCCTCCATATCTTTCCTTGCTTTGGTGGGATTTGAGAGCGTGGGAGCACTTCGTGTGTTCTTGCCATTGCATTTTTTGCATCAGTTTGACTTGTCCATAGTGATCCATGGAAGAGAAAGTTGAGAAGCTTATTACTCTTGGTTGTTTGGACACCCTAGAGCTTGTGCCTCTTGGGTGATTGGGTGCCCTAGACGGTTCGTGGTGTCGTGGAACTCAATCTTTGTGGCGTAAAGCTTCGGGGTCTCCAATTAAGTTGTGGAGATTGCCCCGAGCAATTTGTGCGGGTTCATTGACCGCCCTCAAGGGCCCTTAGTGGAGTCATCGCACCTTGTATTGTGGAAGGGCGTGAGGAGAATATGTTGTCCCTAGTGGCATTTTGGGAAGCATTGTGCCTCCACACCGCCCTAACAGAGATTAACATCTGCAAGGTTGTGAACTTCGAGATACATCGTCGTCTCCGCGTGCGTCGGTTATCTCTTACCCGAGCCTTTTACTTGTGCACTTACTTTGTGATAGCCTTAGTAGTTCATATTATACATTTGCTACCACATAGTTGTTTATCTTGCTTAGCATAAGTTGTTGGTGCACATATTTGAGCCTAGTATATTTAGGCTTTGTGCTTGACAAATTAAATGCTACTTTTATTCCACATTTATTCAAGCCTTAACCGTAATTGTTTTTAAACCACCTACTCATACCCCTCTCTAGGCGACATCCATGTCCTTTCAAAAACAAAAGATCTTTTTGACCTTGCGGCCATTTCATCAAGCATGTCAGAGCGCGCTTCAGGTCTCGTCCAAATCTAGATCAGGGTCAGACGCCAAAGATGGAAGGCGTGGTGGCACGGCTACAATAAGTCGTGTAGTAGCTGTCCGCACCATGAGAAGACGAGGGGTAGCTTTCCGGTGACCACATCCTTCTTCTTCTTCGTGGTGACCGTCGTGCTGTCTATCGCCTTGGTCGACGAGTCACTGTCCTTTTGCCGCCCAGCTTGGACAAAGACGATAGGGTGGTGCCGGCAGAGCGAGCGGCGAGCACTGTCGACGACCGAGATGGCTCAGTGAGGTTCTTGCCTTGGCACCACTACTTTGCTTCTTGTGGCGCTGAAATCACTATCGACTGTGTGTCTCTGACGCGGATGAGGGTGGTTGGGGTGCGGCGAGGGAGGGATTTCCATTCCATCGGTCATCGAGGTCGGGGGTGACCAACAGAGAGGGTAACGGGGCCGGGGTCGCGTGAAAAAGTTGCGGGTGAGTGGGAAGCTGCACAACTGGGTCTAAACTTTAGAGAGAATGGCAGGCTAAATTTGAGTAAGTGGTGGCCATTGTTATTTTTGGAATGGGGGTGGTCATATTTTATGGATTAATGATTTTGAGGGATCTACTAGCTGATGCTTAATTCCTTAAAACTAAAATGTTTTTCTCAAATATGACTTTTGAGGACTCTGCTAGAGATGCTCTAAGTTATTTTCATTTATTCTTCATGTACAGATGTACCATAAACATTAATAGAAAAAAAATACATGGAGTACAAGTGTGCTGTTTTTTGTCAGAAATGGAAAATAAATAAAAGGGAAATCCCTTCCCAACAATTGTCCAGCTACACACATTAAAACACCACATGTGTCCAGTTCCGTGCCTCTTTCCCACGACGTGCACCTGGCTCCTCATTTTGTTGATCCAAGCGCGATATCTTTATTTAATATTTTTGTGAAAAATATATTTGTTCTTGTCTTTTTAGGACGGAAAATGTATCTTTGAGATAGATGGTGATGCAAAGTTGCATGCACGGGTTGTACTGTCTCCACCCGCAGGCCGCAGTGTTCATACTATACTCTCTTCATTTTAAAATATAGCGTGCCTACGTTTTTCCTCATTTCAAAATATAGCGTGCCTACGTTTTTTGAGGTCTAATTTTGATCATAAATTTAACCAACAAGACTGATTGGGATGGAAGAAAAAATTATATAATTAAAATTCACTGGTATAATTTTTACTCCCGCCGCAGTTGGTCTCCTTGATTAAATATATGGTCAAAATTAAAATAAGGAAATAAAGGAAGCACTATATTTTAAAACGGGGAGTAGTACGTACTGCATAATATAAATAGACACGTAGGCAAGGGCGCGCCACACGTCGAACACACGAGCGCGCGTACTCGTGGCCGCATGCAACGGGTCTAGGGCCAGAAATTTTACCAGTGCGAGGTCTACCCACAAAAAGCAACGCGCTGGTGAACCCTCCTGCGGTGTCACAGTTCCAAGGGCTACAAAATTTTTGGATCTCCTGATCCGTGAATGATGAACCTTTTTTAACACCATCCCTGAGGTTTTTAGAAATTGGTTAGGAAGTAAAAGAAAGCAAAACCCTTCAACCATACTACTCCCTATAAACTAATATAAGACGCCTTTACAATCTATAAACTAGGTAATTATATGGACAGACATAAAAAAATCACACATAAATATAACTCAAGTGCCCTAGGACGATCTTATATCTCTACTTTCTACTCTGTGTAATGCACGTTTGGCACACAATTATCATGGTGCAACCAATTGGTGCCCCTAAGCACGCATCTGTATTTGGCTAGTTTCGTGCACGACAATGCCAATTGTGGTGCATACGCCATAATGGTGAAGTTGTTGGCGCCTTCTGCGATTGTCGGGACTCCCCTTGACCATAAACGTGTCGGCTCTAGGGCTTTTGCCCAGCTACTCTCACACTCGATTCCGTTTTGTCAATAGGAAAGTAGGCGCCATCCATCTAGTTGTCCATAGTGACGTTGAGCGCATTGCCTCTTGTGTTGTATTCCGAGATTTTCGGACTCCTAGTTTCTCATAGTTTCTCTTACATTGTTTTGCCTATGACCCTAGTGGACCCCTTTTCACTGGTGGCGCATTCAAAAGTATCATAGTCAGTGAGTTGCTTGTCAATTGTGAGAACCGGCAAAAAGAAAAGAAAAGAAAAGGCTTGTCAAGTACTCCCTTCGTCCGAAAATACTTGTCATCAAAATGGACAAAAAAGGATGGATCTAGAATTAAAATACATCTAGATACATCCCCTTTTATTCATTTTGGTGACAAGTATTTCCTGACGAAGGAAGTATGAGATGTAGCCCCACAATCCCTACACTTGTTCGCATGCTTATTTGTTTCTCTTGTAAATGAAAAGACAAGCCCCGGATAGTAAGGAAAACAAATCGCATAGATACAAACGACCATCTTTCAGCGAAAATCTGAGGTGGTTCCTGCAAATTGTGCAAGATCAACAGTCCAACGCCGACAGTCACCTGATGACCCGAACACCACGGCGTCATTTTCCCCCCGTCCACACGCTTATATATTCTCTACCGTCGTCTTCCCGGAGGGCCGCGGATACACGGCGGTAACACCGGCGCTGACACACCCGAGCGATTCACCGTGGCATCAAGATCAGCTCAGCAGCTCCTACCCTACCTAGTACCCACCAACCACCGACGCAGCACCACTCCACTTCACTGCGCGAGCGCGCGTGCGGAGTGCCTCCGTCGTTCCGAGGAATTCAGGGGGATGGGGATGGAGTACGAGCCGGTGCCGCTGGCAGCGCCGGCGCCGAAGAAGCCGGCGGCGGGCGGGCGGGCGGCCCTGAAGCTGCTGCTGGCCCTGCTCCTCGTCGGCCTCGCGATGCGGCTGCTCGCCGACCGCTGCGCCTCCCGCCTCCTGCCGCCCACCGCCCCGACGGAGGAGGCCGCGGCGCTCGCCGTGACGGCGCCGCCGGCGCAGGAGGAGGCCGGCGGCGGGGACGGGGTGCCCGTAACTCCCAGCGGTGAGCACAGCTGGTTCTTGGGATGCTCTTCGTTCGTTGCCATTTTCTACTTTCCGTTTCTGCTCCCTGGAAAAAAAATGCTTTCCGCTTCTGTTTCGCTCTTCACTACCGACAGATGGATGGATGGGCAGCTACAGCTTTTAGTGGAGAATTAACATTGCTTCCAGTACAATTAATTCTGGGTTCAGCATGCATTGGCCACAATTTATACTCGGATATGCAGCAAAAAAGGGTCTTTTGTTGGTTACTGAAATCAGCAGTTGATTGAAGCTGGATAATAGGGGGGTATTTTCAGTTTTTCTATGTGTGGGAGAATATTGCCTCTTCCATTCAGGGATGATTTGAATCTCCAATGTATATGATTCACATATGAATTCTTGGTTAAGAAAAATGAAAAGAAAAGTATATCAGAAAAATAAACAGTAAAATTTTCTTGGTGAAATGATCTAAACTTTCCAAGCTCAGAAAGTTCTGCAGTATGGTTATCATGCTCAGAAATCTCAACTTAAAATATAGTTTATTGTTCCGTGGGGGGGCGTGTGGATCTCCTCTCGTTCCATGAGCTTATTATTCTGTTCTGTCTTTGACCCTAGATGCATGTTTTGCTACAGTAGGGCTTGATCTGCGGCATGTGGTACCTGCATTAAATTTTTGGGGGAGTGAAAGAAGATTGTGATTGATTCATTCATCCCTATCATTAGTTTACTGAAACAAACCGATGCGATTAGATATATAGATCCTCTGTGAACTGTCGGTGTTGCCTTCAGAAAAGTGTGGCAGTGGTACCACAGGGTACTACTACCAGTGACTTGATTGGTAATGGTGTTCTCTTTGTTTTTCATTGACAGGTGCAGGGAGGTGTGATCTCTTCCATGGGGAATGGGTCCATGATTCCTCTGGCCCAGCTTACACCAATGCAACCTGCCGGTTCATTGAGACTCCACAGAACTGTATGTCGAATGGAAGGCCTGACGATGGTTATCTGTACTGGAAATGGAAACCGTATGGCTGCGAGGTCCCGCCGTTTGAGGGCAAGACGTTTCTGGAGGACATGAGGGGCAAACACTGGGCACTAGTGGGCGATTCGATCCTCCGCAACCATGTCCAATCATTGCTTTGCCTTCTTTCCAAGGTAATTCCATGGGATTTTTATTCTTCGTATTGTGCGCCTTTAGTAAGAACAAAGGATTCATATCATACAAATTATCAACAGTTTAGTATTTGCACATGTAAAGCATTTGTTTAAGTAGGTGTTTCCTTGATGCACAATTTGATTTGGGCATGTATCAAGCTTTAGTAGCATGCATAACGAACTGTATCATTCCGACAACAAAAAACTAACCATATCAAAGCTTAAAGAGAACTAGAGAAGGATACAAAGTGGCCAAGAATGATGTGTTTATTTTGTCCTTGTTAATAAGATGAATGGGAAGGGGCTTCAGGCGACATATATACTACCCTCACAAAAAAAACATACTAAAGATCCTTTAGAGGTTTTTATCCCCCTCTGCATTTTTCGCTGTAACTTCAATGAGCTATTTGCGCACTGTGAATTTATCACCTTTTGATCAGACATTTGACCTTGTGTCTTTAGTTATGCCTATTCTTATACTCCCTTTGGTTACAAATATAAGATGTTCTAACTTTTTGCTAAATCGGATGTATATAGGCATGTTTTTTAGTGTGTTTGTTCACTCATTTCAGTCCGTATCTAGTATATATTGAAATATCCAAAACATCTTATATTCGTGAACGGAGGAAGTACTTGATAAGAATCTACTGATATATTTATCAAGTATACTTTAGGAGAATCTTTGATGAAATATGTTCTTGTTGAGGATGATGGATCAGCTAACGATGTGTCGTTTTAGTACCTAGCAAGAACTCTACTAGTTCCTGAAATCCATCTTGCCATTTCCCACATTCAGATTTGTGTGGTACAGTATTATATATGCAGATGCTATTAGTCGTGCTTGGCTGAATTTTGTAACAATGTAACAGGATTTATCAGAAGCCAAAAATCCTTCAACACGTAAATAAATAAATAATTCTGTTGCCTTGTTCAGGTTGAAGATCCTACAGAGGTGTATCATGACAAAACCTACCAGTCCCGGAGATGGCACTTCCCATCCTACAACTTCACGCTCTCCCTGGTGTGGGCGCCGTTCCTCGTCAAGGCGGAGATATTCGAGGACGAGAACGGATTCTCGTCGGCGGAGCCGCGGCTGACCTTCGACGTCCTCGACGCCAACTGGATAAGCCAATGGACCACCTTCGACTACGTGATCATCTCGACGGGGCAGTGGTTCTTCAAGAAGGCGGTGTACCTGGAGAAGGGGGCGGTGATCGGCTGCCACTTCTGCCAGGACAAGAGCCTGAGGGAGGTGAGCATCGACTACTCCTTCCGCAGGGCCCTCCGGGAGGCGTTCCGGTTCATCACTGCGTCAGCGCACCGGCCGGTAGTGTTCTACCGGACGTGGTCGCCGTCGCACTTCGAGGGCGGCGAGTGGTTCAGCGGCGGGCGGTGCGACCGAAAGGCCCCGTTCAAGCCGCGGGAGGCCGGTGACCGCGCGCTGGACAACCTCATGTGGCGGGTGGAGCGCGCGGAGTTCGCCAAGGCTGCGGCGGACGACGGTGGCAGCGGGGAGGGACGCCGCCTGAGGCTGCTGGACACGTTCGAGATGTCGCTGCAGCGGCCTGACGCCCACGCCGGGCCGTACCGGGTATACCAGCCGTTCGCCAAGGGGGCCGACGCCGGCAAGGTGCAGAACGACTGCCTGCACTGGTGCCTGCCCGGTCCGATAGAGGCGTGGAACGACATCATCATGCAGATGCTGGCCGAGGACTGAGACCTCGCCGTCGTTCGGCATGATCGGGCGGGCGGGCCAACTGGTTTTTTGACATTGCGCGGGATGGGGGGTGTGTCTTCTTGCTGGCAGGGGTTCATGGTGCCCGGTTAGAGGCTTGAGTGATGTTACCAGGTGTACGTTGGGACTTGTGAAACTGTGTTGTCACCGGTCACACCTGGTTTGTGCTTGGACTTCAAAATGCCGGCCTTTCTATGGACATTTTGTAGCAGGCATACATATAGAATAATGATGCAAGAAAGAAATCCTACACCTGAGTTACTTCCTCCGGTCCTTTTTAGTTTGCATATAAGTTTTATCCAAAGTCAAACTATCTCTACTTTGACCAATCATATTGGAAAAAGCATCAACAGTCTCAAAATATTGCTAGGCTATGAAATGTAGTTTCATAGGATATACATTTGGTATTGTAAATGTTGATATTTCTTAATATAAATTTGGTTAAACTTTGCAATGTTCGACAAAAATCTACTCTCTCCGTTCGGAATTACTCGTCCAATAAATGAATGTATCTAGATGTATTTTAGTTGTAGATACATCCATTTTTATTCATTTTTGTGACAAGTAATCCCAAACGGAGGGAGTAATACACGCAGTAGAAAGGATCGGAGGGAGTACCTCTAAAGTCTAAATGTATAATGCAAAATGGGAACATTGGTCTTACCATTTGGGGTTGCCATAGAATTTCTCTCTTCGTTTTTTTTGTTGATAAAGGGATTTTCTTTCTCCCCAGTTACATTAGCGAAACCATAGCAATCCTTACATGGGAGACAGAAAACAGCATGCCCGCGTGTGATTCTTCTGCCTATAGTATGATTACTTGTCACCAGATCACATATCTTGCACTTTTTTTAACTCAAACTACACGCATATATATAATTTGGAAAATTCCAAAGAAACAAAACTTTCAAAAACATCAACTCTATTGCATGAAATCATCAACATCTCGGCATATTTACAAGATACTCCTGAGCTTTGACTACGACAACGCGCCATTATTTTGCTGACTTACTCAAAATAAACAACGGGGTACTACGAGCACATAGCTGGTCAGTTTGGAACACACAGAGTTTCTTTTCCAGCTAGCTTCTGCACAAGTGAAAAAAAAAGGATTGTCAGTAAAAAAAAACATCAATGAGATGTCAATAGAACGAAATTTCTAATGGGATTTTTATCAATCAATGAGTATATGAATAGAAGAAAAATGAAGTATGGCAATTGCAGTATGTGAGAAAATACAAAAGATAAATACATCATTAATCATGCCGTGGACCAATTTTGAACATCCTACAAAAATCGGACACATCCATGGGGAAAAACATAGCTGTGTGAAGACAGCAATTCAATATCTACATACTCTTGCTGTCTATAGATATAGCTCATTTCCTTCTTTATGTTAAGGTCAAGCAGTCAGTGTTAAAGAACATATCTAAATTAAATAATTCCCAGTGTTTTTCTATGTCATAGCAAAGTCTTTTAGCTTTGACATAATTTGGTTTGTACCTTGGCTAATATACTGTTACCTCTTGAAGTGAAGTTCAGCAAAACTGGGGTAACTAGGTATAAGAGCTCCAAGCAAGGAGCTGACTTTTTTTAATTTACTTGGTTACTAACTTACTAATGAAATATTTTTGCAGTTAACCACATGACTCACTTTTGGTATTAAGTCCGTATAATTGTAAATGTAGTAAGTAAATAACTTATTCTAGTGTCTAATGTATGTGCTCATTTTAGTTTTAAATTTTCACAGTTTAGAGTTTCTATATGCATTGATAAAATGACTGATTTCAAAATTTTGTAGACAGTTCGATAAGCAGCATAAGCGAATAGATAAGTAATTCACTCAGAAATTGATTCTCCTCTACCCGGGTTCAGTAATAAATAAAGTAATGTCTTGCATATATGTTTTATCTTGTTACCTCAATTAAACACTTAGCGCAATGAATTCATATTTTTTATTCATAACGAACAACAGAAACTATCCAGATTTGTTCTTGAGCGGCAAACCTAGTTAGCTGTTTTTCACTTCCTTCATTTCTTTATGCAAGACATCATGCATCACAAGATTCAAGTTTGACCAACAATTAGATCAATAAAATGTGGGTTATATGACAAAGAGATAATACCATTGGAAAAAGCTTTTCAGTACAAACCCAATGATATCATTTTCTTTGTCAAATAAACAACATTTTATTAATCTAATTGTCAGCCAAACTTGAACCCTGACATGCTAAATATCTCACAAAAAGAAAACCTACTGAGTGTTTTTCACTTGAAAACCTACTGCTTGTTATACATGGTGTATCTCTGTGTTCTTAAGCATTGGTATAATACTAACTGCACAAAGTATCATCTCCCATCTTCAGAGTTAATGACAATCTGGAAAGATGAGAGATAATATTTTGTAATGTTAGCCATGCATAAACTCAAATGGGAGCCTTGGCACAGTGGTAAAGCTGCTACCTTGTGACCATGAGTTCAAGTCCTGGAAACAGCCTCTTAAAGGAATGTAGGGGAAAGGCTGCATACAATAGACCCAAAGTGGTCGGACCCTGCGCAAGCGGGAGCTACATGCACCGGGCTGCCCTTTTTTAGCCATGCATAAACTCGTAAGGAAGAGAACAAAAAAAGTGAAGTGCTAGTGTGCACCTTTGTTGTTGTCCGATAATTATTATTTTTGCCTCAAATACTTCCACATAATAAACTACTCCCTCCATTCCAAATTACTCGTCATGGTTTTAGTTCAAATTTGAACTAAAACCACGACGAGTAATTTGGAACGGAGGGAGTAAAATGTTAAACTAAAACCACGACAAGTAATTTGGAACGGAGGGAGTAAAATGTTAAACTAAAACCACAACAAGTAATTTGGAACGGAGGGAGTAAAATGTTAACTACTACCTGTCCTGTGCTAGACAAAGTTATTAGAATTGCATCTCTGGCAATAAGTCTCACCTAGAATAAAAACATCACACCTTAATGAATTATTTTCTCATTCACACATTATGCGATAGTATATTAATAACCACACAAATTTGTCATAGTATGGATACCTGTGAGAATAACAGGAAAGCTAAGGTATGCAGTGCACTATGTACTATGTTAGTCTCTTTCTAAAGAATAGAAACAAGGTATTTTTTTTCTCAGATAGATAGTACTTTGTGTACATATTGGTACACTAATGCTCAAGACCAGAAAAAAAAAACCATTGTACCCTCCATCCAAAATAAGTGTCTCAACTTTGTACTAGCTCTAGTACAAATTTGTACTAAGCTCAAGACACTTATTTTGGGACAGAGGGAGTACATGATTAACCAGAATATCTACTGAAAATAATAAACATTCTAGACAAAATATTAACTAGGTACATAACCAAGAGGTCATTAAATAATGTATCACAATTGCTTTGACTATACTAACCCCTCCAAACCTCACAGCACAACTCAAGATTCAATTACAGCACCTTCCATTCGAAGCTTTCAGATGCTCAAACTAACTGGAAGTTGAAATGATTTTTCATTTAATACTCAAAATAATTAAGTTCAAGAAACCGAGTTCATGGTTGAACATGAGGTACTGGCAGCTAAACATTCCGAAGGTGCTTATCAAACAACTCCTGATGTGCATCATTCCAATCATGAACAACTCAATAAATTGGAAGCAATATTTACAATTAAATTAGCAGATTTAAATGCAAACATCGTTAATCATGGTACGGACAAATTTTGACCATCCTACGCAGATCCCACACATCCATGGGGAAAAACGTAGCTGTGTGAAGACAACAGTTCAATATCTACATACTCTTGCTGTCTACAGATAGGTTGCTTCCTTTTTTATATCAAGGTCAAGCAGTTAATGTTAAAGAAAACATACCTAAATTAAAATAATTCCCAGTATTTTTGCATGTTATAGCAAAGTCTTTTCGCTTTGGCATAATTTGTTTGGTTAATTCCTTGGCTGATATAGTGTTACCTCTTGCAGTGTAGTTCAGAGAAACCAGGCAAACTAGGTATGAGAGCTCCGAGCAAGGAGCTGACCTTTTGAATTTACTTGGTTACTGACTTATAGAATGAAATATTTTTGCAGTTAACCACATGACTAACTTTTGGTATGAAGTCCGTGCAATTGTAAATGCAGCATGTAAATAACTTATTCTAGTGTCTAATTTATGTGCTCTGCTCATTTAGTGTTAAATTTTCATAGTTATAGAGTTTCTACATGTCCATTGATAAAATGACTGATTCAAATAGTGTAGACAGTTAGTTCAATAAGTAGCATAGGTGAATAGATAAGAAATAACTTCACTCAGAAATTGATTCTCCTCTACCTGGCTTCAAGTTAATAAACGAAGTAATGTCTTACATATATGTTTTATTATCTTGTTACCTCAACTTAACATTTAGAGCAATGAATTTATATTTTTTATGTGTAAAGAAAATGAATTAATATTTCTTATTAGTAATGAAAATAAGAAACTATCAGGATTTGTTTTTTAGCAGCAAACCTAGTTGGTTATTTTCCACTCCTTTCTTTATGCAAGATGTCATGCATCACAAGATTCAAGTTTGACCAACAATTAGATCAATAAAACGTGGGTTATATGACAAAGAGAAAATACCATTGGAAAACGCTTAAGTGCGAACCCAATGCTATAATTTTCTTTGTCAAGTAAAGAACATTTCATTAATCTAATTGTCAGCCAAACTTGAATCATGAAATGCTAAATATCTCAGAAAAAGAAAACCGAGTGAGTGTTTTTCACTTGATATACAAATGTATTTCATAGCCTGTTATACCACGGTGTATCGTTTTGTTCTTACGCATTAGTATCTTACTAACCACACAAAGTATCATCTCTCATCTTCTGATTTAATGACAATTGGAAATATGACAGATAATATTTTGTGATGTTAACCATGCATAAACTCTTATTTTTTGTTTGTAAGGAACCAGAAAAATATCAGGATTTGTTTGAAAAACAACAAAACTAGTTAGTTGTTTTTCACTCCCTCCATTTCTTTATGCGGACGCCATGCATCACAAGATTTAAGTTTGACCAAAAACTAGATCAATAAAACATGGTTTACATGACAAAAAAGGTAATATCATTCGAAAACGCTTTTGTATGAACCCAATGATACCATTTCTCTGTTGAATAAACAACATTTCATTAATCTAATTGTCAGCCAAAATTAAATCCTGAAATACTAGACGTCTTACAAAATCAAATAGAGAGTGCTTTTAACTCAATTGTATCTCAAAGCTTGTTATACAATGGTGTATCTTTGTGTTCTTAAGCATTAGTATAATATACTACCTAGACAAAGTATCATTTCCCATCTTCAGATTTAATGACAATCTGGAAAGATGAGATAATATTTTGTGATGTTAGCCATGCAAAAACTCTAAGGAAGAGAACAAAAGGAAGTGAAGTGCTAGTGTGCACCTTTGTCGTTGTACTACAATTGTTTTCTTGCCTCGCATAGTTTCACATAATAAACTAAAATGTTAACTACTACTCCCTCTGTCCGAAAATATTTGTCATCAAAAAGAATAAAAAGGGATGTATCTAGATGTATTTTAGCTCTAGATGCATCCCTTTTCATCCATTTTGATGACAAGTATTTTCGGACGGAGGGAGTACCTGTCCTGTGCTAGACAATCTAGTGTATCTGATAGTTTTGTCAAGTTATTAGAATTCACTATTAGTTGAAATTGCTTCTCTGGCCATAAGTCTCACCAACAATAAAAACCTCATGCCATACTGAATTATTTTCACATTACATATACTAAAATGCTTTTCATCCTGGCCTTGCCTATGAGATGCATATTTGCAAATATTTAGCTGTGAGAATAACAGGAAAACTAAGGTACACAGTGCACTATGTACTACGTTAGGTTTCTTTCTCATTTGCTTCAGGATGATGAGATAGATAGTGCTTTGTGTAATTAGTGATACATTAATGCTCAAGAACAGAGAAAAACACCGTGGTATAACAAAGCTACATGATAAACCAGAATATCTACTGAAAATAATAAATGTTGTAGACAAAATCCTAACTAGGTATATAACCAAGAGGCCACATTAAACAATCTATCACTATTGCTTTGACTATACTCACACCTCCAAACCTCATGATTCAATTACAGCACCTCCCTTTGAAGCTTTCAGATGCTCAAATTAACTGGAAGTTCAAATGTATTTTAATTTAATACTCGAAATAATTAAGTTCAAGAATCGAAGTTGCTGATTGAACGAGGTACTGGCAGCTAAATGTTCCAAACATACTTATCAAACAACTCCTGATGTTCGCCCTTCCAATCATCAACAACTCAATACATTGAAACAAATATTTCCAATTAAATTTGCGGATTCAAATAACCATTTCATTTAATATCACATTTGCATGTTTTATCAGATATCCTTTCCATCGCTTAAACTATTTGCTCAAATTATTCAATAAATAATACTTTAAATGTCTGAATAATGAGTTGTTTCTTTATGTTTAATCTGAAGAAAGGTTTTTTTTATGACATAATTTTCTAATTTTCAGTCAGACAAAAGCACAACATTATGCAATGCATAACTGCATGACTCAAGGAGGTATCAAGTACTTGAGCAGCAGGCCTACACTCTTCGCGTATCCATGTAAGCTTATTAAAATCTTAGCTGATAACAGGGTTTATAATCTCTACAGAAACAGAATTAATTCTAAACAAAATACTGAAGTTTCTGCAAATAGGATTCTTTTTTGAAGTTACACTGCTAGGTAAGAACTAGCACCCTACACTTCTCTTCTACGGTTTTACACAACCAAACACCCAAACCCTGCACAAATTTTGCTCTTTACCGGTTCAATCATGTCTCATTCCAGCGTTAACTTCGCATTCACAATATCTACCAGCAGTTAAGAGCTTAAACTTTTCTTTAAGAAAATCGAGGAGTCAATCAGACAAGTATCGTGAGATCTCACCGGTCACTTTTTATCCTCGTCCGCGCTGGCGCCGCTGGGGGGACGGGGATCGGCGCGGGAGGGAAGGGGGTTGGAACCCTTCACGAGCCAGCCGAGGGCGAAGAAGGCGCCGCCAGCGAGAATGGCGGTGCCCCAGGCTTGGGAGTACCACCGGCTGTACTGGCGCACCGCGAACCGCCACTGGTCCCGCAGCGTAGCCGCGTCGGGCAGCGCCGCGTCCGGAGGGTTAGGGTACCCTCCGCCCCCCGCGCCTCCGCCGAACCCGCGGATGCGGGGGACTCCCTCGGGCGGCGGTGGTTGGGGCGGCGCCGGAGGAGATGGCGACGGCGTGATGGGCTTCTCTTGGCTCGCCATTCCAAGAGGGATCTGTGTACGGTTTAGGACCCCGAGGCCTGGGTAAGGCGGCCGGCGGCGACGGTCTGCTTGTGTGACGGGGACAGGCGCAACGGTGGCCGAGATCGTAGCCCGGAAGTGAACGGACGTGGCGGCGCCCCCCGAGTTCCGGCTAGAGAGGGAGGGCCGGAAGAGAACGGTGGAAGTGGAATAGTGGTAGAAGAGCAAACGGCAGGAGAGAGAGAAAGAGAGCGTGTGCGTGTGAGGCGTGGCTCATGGGATTTTATTGTTTCCTTTCGGCCTTTCGGTTTCTGGGAGGTGGGCCGGGCTTCCGTGCGCGATGGGCTACACAAGGCTTCGATCCAGCACGGTGCGATCAAAACGGCCCGCCGTTTTCTGTTGAAGTTGAAGGTTTTTTTTTCCGGCAATGCTGAAGTTGAAGTAGTCCTGGCCATCTCAGGCCCGGCCCTAAAATCCAGGGCCTAGGCCCGATGGGCTTGCTTGTGGACCGGGCTTGGGCCTAAGTTTTGAGCCCACCAGCAGGGCCTGGACGGGCTTGGGCTTAGCATATTGGCATTTTAAGGAAGAGGCCCGGCCCACGGCCCTAAGCCCTAAGGGCTTTTGAGGGCTTTTTACTAGATGGGCCAGGCTTGGACTTGAAAAGTAGGCCCGATGGTAGGGCCTGGGAGGGCCTGGGCCTCAGTTTTCTACCATGGGCTATTTTAGGCCCGGCCCAAGCCCGGCCCGGCCCATGGCCAGATATAAGTTGAAGTTATGGAGAGAGACTGCAATGGAGGCTAGGGTCTAGTCCTCGTTGTGGAATATTAAAGTTCACTCAAAACTGAGAGCTTTCTTATGAAGATTATGACATGCTGATAGTAAATCATCGCAACATGTCCATTACACAGGTCTGCGCACTTTGCGCAACACAAAATAGCTGGAAACATGCACTTATTGATTGTGTAGTGGCACGATTTTGTGGTCTATCTCGAGGTGCTTAAAAAAATAAACTGCATTTTTTCTGAAGCATCAGTGCCTATTTTTACAGGAGAGACGCCTAATTAAGCGTCTGGCCTGTACAAATAAGCACCGGGGTTTAAGAAAAGCCTAATTTATTTCTCCAAGCACCTTTCCTAAGCACATTGCATTGTACAAGGCCTTAGAATGCATAACGGAGCACCCGACGATGGGTGCAAAGAATTGGTTGTTTGTGATGCATGACAAGTTAATCACATGGTGAGTTTACTCGCATGATTGTTACACTATAGGCGTTTTGGCGATCCAGAAGAAAGGCTATCCATGAAGAGATATGTGAAAGTCATTTTTTTGTCCATTCTTTCATCACGTTTTTCTTAAGGGACATTGATCAGCGAGAAGAGGACAACGGGCGTGAAGAGGATTGCCACAACTCGGCCACTCGTATGGCAGCCTCCGCCTACCGGGTTTGCCAAGATAAATGTTGGTGTTGTTGGATCTAACGATGGATCCTTTGGTGCGGTTGCGGGGTAGGACATGATCAGGGAGGTAATTTTCTCCCAGCTATCATCCTGAGATTCATCTAGAAACCAACTACACTTGAAGCCTTAGTTGTTCGAGAGGGTTTAGCCATTGCAGAGGATATCTGTGAGTCTCAAATACAAATTCCATCGGACTGCAACACGGTGGTGAATGACATCTAAACAATTCATCAAAAAATAGTTCTAGGGCTTTTATGGCTTGTAACATAGTTCATGAGTTTATGAACTTGAGTTTCGAGGCTCACAGTCTTGCTAAGCATGCTTTGACTCTTGGTTTTGGCCGCCATGTTTGAGTAGGCCAGTCGGGAGAGCTAGTTTTTTTTACCTATAAACGTTTTGGAGATATAAATAAAGCTGAGCGAGAGTGTCTAAAAAAAGCAAAGATTCTCAAAAAAAGATTTGCCTGCCACACACTGAGGGAGCGTTGCTAAAAACTAAGGGAGCGCCTACGCGCCAACATGGCGTACCAAAGTAATTAGTATTTGGACGATACTACAATTGGATGACCACTATCAACTTGATATTTTCAGTGAGAGATCATCCTAATAACGACTATTGCGCAATCAAGGTGCATGAAAAGGGATTAACATCACATGCAGTTTATAATATAGTGATGTGGTATAGCCCTTTTCTAATGAAGTAGTCTACATCGTCTCCGTGATCTTCTTCATCCCTCTGTCGGCACCGTAGAACTCCTTCTCCGCGCCCACCCTTTGCGTCGAGGTCCACCGTCGCAAATATTGTCTTCTTAAAAATCACCGAGGTTGACACGCAGGTTAACAAATAAGAGAAAAGACAATCATATGGATCCAGCTATCATGTTGTACCATGGCTCGTAGGCCAAGATAAAATTATTACAACATATCACTTATCATACAAACATATTGAGGAAACAAAAGCTTATACCACATAACATGCAAACCTCCTGCAAAAACGAGTTAGACGCTTCTAGTCCCTTTGCTAATTACTGTGGCTGCTATGGTTAAGTTGACAAAATTTTATCTTTCCTACAAACTATAAGCATGACACTTCACGTTGTTAGTTTAACTTTCCAGGTGTATGAAACACAAGACTTAATTAAAAATATCGAGCCCCATACTAAAATTTGTCATTACGCTTGACCCTCGTGTATATCATTATCTACATTCCCTTCCGCTCTCGCAAAGTTTATCTTTCATGACTATGAACGAGTCCAAAGTATCTGAAGCTTAGCTATGGATGGGGGACCTTAGCAAGCTAGATTGTTGCAACAAAACATGAACATGTTGTTGACGACTGCTACCTCTTGAGCATGCGTTGATTTTTCCCTTGAAGAGGAAAGGGTGATGCAGCAAAGTAGCGTAAGTATTTCCCTCAGTTCTGAGAACCAAGGTATCAATCCAGTAAGAGGCTCCTCACAAGTCCCACGCGCCTACACAAACAAACAAGAACCTTGCAACCAACGCGACAAAGGGGTTGTAAATCTCTTCATGGCCACTTGCGAAAGTGAGATCTCATAGAGATAATATGATAAGATAAATATTTTTGGTATTTTTATGATATAGATTGAAAAGTAAAGATTGCAAAATAAAGTAGATTGAAAATTTATATGATAGAGAATAGACCCGGGGGCCATAGGTTTCACTAGTGGCTTCTCTCAAGATAGCACAATTATTACGGTGATAAACAAATTACTGTCGAGCAATTGATAGAAAAGTGCATAGTTATAAGAATATCTAGGCATGATCATGTATATAGGTATCACGTCCGCGACAAGTAGACCGACTCCTGCCTGCATCTATTACTATTACTCTACACATCGACCGCTATCCAGCATGCATCTAGAGTATTAAGTTCATAAGAACAGAGTAACACATTAAGCAAGATGACATGATGTAGAGGGATAAACTCAAGCAATATGATATAAACTCCATCTTTTATCCTCTATGGCAACAATACAATACGTGCCTTGCTGCCCCTGCTGTCACTGGGAAAGGACACCGCAAGATTGAACCCAAAGCTAAGCACTTCTCCCATTGCAAGAAAGATCAATCTAGTAGACCAAACCAAACTGATATTTCAAAGAGACTTGCAAAGATAACCAATCATACATAAAAGAATTCAGAGGAGATTCAAATATTTCTCATAGATAAACTTGATCATAAACCCACAATTCATCGGATCTCGACAAACACACCGCAAAAAAGAGTTACATCGAATAGATCTCCAAGAAAATCAAGGAAAACTTTGTATTGAGATTCAAAGAGAGAGAAGAAGCCATCTAGCTAATAACTATGGACCTGAAAGTCTGTGGTAAACTACTCACAACTCATCGGAGAGGCCTTGGTGATGATGTAGAGGCCCTCCATGGTCGATTCCCCTTCCGGCGAAGCGCCGGTGAAGGCTCCAAGATGGGATCTCGCAGATACAGAAGGTTGCGACAGTGGAAATAGTTTTTCGTGGTGCTCCTGGATGGTTTCGGGGTACGAAGATATATATAAGTGAAGGAGGTAGGTTAGGGGAGCCATGATACGTCTCCGTCATATCTATAATTTTTGATTGTTCCATGCCAATATTCTTCAACTTTCATATACTTTTGGCAACTTTTTATACTATTTTTGGGACTAACATATTGATCCAGTGCCCAGTGCCAGTTCCTGTTTGTTGCATGTTTTATGTTTCGCGGAAAACCAATATCAAACGGAGTCCAAACGGGATAAAAACGGACGGAGAATTATTTTGGAATATTTGTGATTTTTGGGAAGTAAAATCAACGCGAGACGGTGCCCGAGGGGGCCGGGAGATAGGGGGCGCGCCCCAGGGAGGCAGGCGCGCCCTGGAGTCTCCTGGGGCCCCCGTAAGGCGGTTGACGCCCTTCTTTTGCCGCAAGAAATCTAATTTTATAAGAAAAATTTGGGTGAAAGATTCACCCCAATCGGAGTTACGGATCTCCGGATATTAAAGAAACGGTGAAGGGGTAGAATCGGAGAATGCAGAAATAGAGAGATAGATCCAATCTCGGAGGTGCTCTCGCCCCTCCCAAGCCATCGGAGCCAAGGACCAGAGGGGAAACCCTTCTCCCATCTATGGAAGAGGTCAAGGAAGAAGAAGAAGAAGGGGGGCTCTCTCCCCCTTGCTTCTGGTGGTGCCGGAACGCCGCCGGGGGCCATCATCATCACCGCGATCTACACCAACACCTCCGCCGTCTTCACCAACATCTCCATCACCTTCCCCCATCTATATTCAGCGGTCCACTCTCCCGCAACCCGCTGTACTCTCTACTTGAACATGGTGCTTTATGCTTCATATTATTATTCAATGATGTGTTGCCATCCTATGATGTCTGAGTAGATTTTCGTTGTCCTACCAGTGATTGATGAATTTCTACGATTGGTTTGAATTGCATGTTTTATTATTGGTGCTGTCCTATGGTGCCCTCCATGTCGCGCAAGCGTGAGGGATCCCCGCTGTAGGGTTTGCAATATATTTATGATTTGCTTATGGTGGGTGGCGTGAGTGACAGAA